AAAAAAAAAATAAATCGGAATGATGTCACTTGAATTGTGCGCTGTCAATGAAGCCTCATTGTCCCAAATGGGCCGAGAACCGGTACCGGTCCGCAGACCGGGCGGTTGGGGACCCCTGCCATTGACCATGAATGTTGACAAGTAACAAACAGGAGCGAGAAATTGACTTTGTGCCCACATACGAAACGGACTTCCGCTTGACGCTCGAGTCAAATGAGCGCCAGCCTTCGGGCCACGGTGTGAACTGTAAATGGTCTCCAGTTCGCAGCGGTCAGGTCCGTTCACAGGAACGGACTCTTGTTTTTTTCTCCTGCTGTCCCGAAGCTTTTCGCCCTTCAACCGCGTCCTCGGTGAAAGCTCGTTAATTTCCTGCCAGTTGGTTGCACATTGCCACACCGTCGGTCCCACACAAAAACCCGAGTGCATTGTTCTGGCATTTCGAATGCTTTGTGTGGGTTGCGGTCAGCCGCCTCGGTCTGCTCTTCTCCACTTGAGAACATCGGGTTCAGTCATCTTTTGTGTTGTAGTTTCGGAAGAGAGAAAAAAAAAAAAAAACACAGCAGAGGCGCCTTAATGACCCCACTGTCATTTGCTGTGCGGTGAACATAAATGTCAAGCGGGCCTTTTTGACGCACATCTCCTCACTGTCAACCGATGAATCACCCTGACTTTCTCTTGGCCTTTTACGTGTTGAAAAAAAAAAAAACACAGCAGAGGCGCCTTAATGACCCCACTGTCATTTGCTGTGCGGTGAACATAAATGTCAAGCGGGCCTTTTTGACGCACATCTCCTCACTGTCAACCGATGAATCACCCTGACTTTCTCTTGGCCTTTTAAGTGTTGTTTGAGTGCAAAGAATGTAGGCCTTGGAAGCTCACATTTCAACAAAAGCTGACGTTCAACTCTCGGCCCTTTCTTTTTTTTTTTTTTGGAAGTGCGGACACTAATGCTAAACGACGTCATACTGTTGACAACAGGGGGTGCCCAGTACGTCCATCGCGATCGACCGATAGCCAGCGGACTGGTCCCAAGTCGTTCGCGAGGTGGGTACTGAGAAATTGGTGGGGCGGGGGGGGGGGTTTATGTGTTTGCGTGCGTGTTATTGACGTGATATATTTTTGGGTTAATGTACACTGCACTCTAGCATCCTATCAGTTTCACTTTCAGGTCACCTTAACCTACGGCGGCGCATGATCTGCACCACAGGGAGTTAGTTGTTCGCGGTCAACAGTTTCAGCTGTCACTTCAGCCTTCGTCGGCGCTGTCGCTGCTTCCTCGCGACGCATCTTTAAAAACTGCAATTTGTATGTTGTGTGCTCAGCTATTGTTGAAGTGAGTGTAAACGTGGTAGCAGAATGATCGCAAAATCTGAACGTTATTTATTACGTGACCATTTGAGATTTCAGTCCAGATTTGAGCGAGGATCCGACATGATTTGCTTTCGGTGGCCACGTAAAATGATGCGGCCGGCCGGATCTGTCCCCCCAGGCCTTGACTTTGACGCCTGTCGTCGATGTGGCATCAACCTTTCCGATTCCTGTGGCGAAAACGTAGGCATTAACTCCTTGATTTAGCAGGTGGTAGTCCAGCGGAAAAAAAGAGAGCTTGTAACCACATCTCGTTGTTTTTTTTTTGTTCACCTCCCCCAGCAAAAATAGTTCATTTGCGTTGAACCCCATACATGAAGACGTTTGACGTTGCTCAGTCGTTGGAGTTGCAAGGACTCGGGATTCCTCTCCCTCGGAATATGACTGCTGTAACCCGGATTGAAAAGAGACCCAAAGAAAAGCCCAGAGCTTCAATATCCATTTGATTGAGGTCAATCTGCCCAGAAAGAGGCGAGTTGGGAGCAGATGAGTCACAACCTTGCTCAGGTTGTGACTTGCTCTTTTTAAGATCAAGAACTTGGACAGATCATCATTCCAGATGTTGGCCTTTTAGTCCGGAGAGTCAGAAACCTTATCACTGAAATCTTCTCCTTGATTTCTTCTCACATCGGCTCCGATGACGTATCTTGGCACTCCGTGGCGAGAAATCGGAGCTCCAAGTGCAAGCGCAGTGAAGTAAGTGCACAATCACCATTTTATAAGAACCTGCTGGGATGTTTTGTTGGGGTCTCGTTAACCTCCAGATGCTGCACTGAAATCGCTGTGCGCGGCGGTTTTACTGCGTGACTCCCAGGTGTGAACGCGTATAATTGGATCAATGCGAACCACGCGGCAATGGTGTTGGAAAAAAAAAAAAAAAAAAAAAAACAGCGGGAGTGATCAGCAGGCCCCTCCGTGAGGAGCGTGACACCGTTGTCTTACATTCGGATCTTTCTCGTAAAGTTCTTTGATGGGGCTCATCGCATCATCCAGAAATTAGCCCGTAAAAACGTCGCCGGACTGCCAACAAATGATTTTGTGACAGTAAAACATGCGAGGGAGTTTCAGGAAGGGTCTCGCGTAAGCATTCTGAAATTGTTGTTTATCAAGATGATCTCAAGCAGACCATTCAGCAGGCAATAATTTAGCGTGTCGTTCCCTTTTGATGCAGGCCGATGATGACAGAGAAGATCAGCATCAGTGTGACATGAACTCGGAGTTGCCCATGCATCATTTCGCTTGATGAATTGCCCGGCCAACCTCACAACACATGGAAGGTTTTAGCAGAGCGATGCCCATAGCCGCCAAAATATGCCGCTTGTTCGCAGACATGGCATACCGGCATGCCGATGATGTCATTCTGGCTTTCGCGCTTAGAAACAGGCCACATTGGACTCCGGACTTTCAGTGTCCTGCAGTCGGTTCTCCACAGAGCATTTGACAAAAAAAAAAAAGAAAAAGGTTCTGGCCTTCCCCCCCGTGAAATTTGCACCTTCTTCTTCCCGTGGGTATCGCTGACAGATACCCACCCAGATACTCTTGATTAAGATTTCATCGTAGCATCATTTTTGGAAGAAATGTCAAGCTGAAGTTGTACAATAATCGTACAACGTTAACGCGACCCAGAAAGCCAAAGGAATGGAGATGATTGTCAGCTGCCCGGTGGCTTACGGAAGAAACCTGGCTTCCCGGCAAAAGATTTTCAGTCATTTAGCCGTATTTAATGTCCTCGGTCGACGCCCTGTCGTGAGCGTTGAAAAGGGGGTGTGATCGCAACTGCAGATTTTCAATACGTTTCCTACGACGCCTTCTTGTCGCGTCAGCGTCTGCTCAAGTTTTTCACTTTGCTCGACATCCAACGTTGGGAGCAAAACAAGATTCCTGGAGCGCGGCGGTCTGTCTCTGCAGATGAACGGGACACAATAACAACGCCTTGCCGTATTTTGCTCTGAGCGAGATTGTTTATGTGGGGGAAAGAGCGTTTGAGTATCTGACACGTTTCTCTTGTGGACATAAAACGGGACATCAGTGAAGGCGTCTCTGTCAAGCTGCCTTTGGGGTTGGAGCGCGGATGCGTTCACGTCGTCGCAAAACGTGAACGCGGGTTCATTGTGCTACCGAAAGGAGCCAAGAGAAATGGCTGACATGACATACGAGGCGGCGCGGCGGTCGACTGGTTATCACGTCGGCCTCACAGCGCGGAGTTGCAGGGTTCGATTCCTCTGTGCAGATTGCAGATTCTCCCCGTTCCCGAGCGGCTATTCTCCGGGCACTCCGTTGTCCTCCCACATTCCGAAAACATGCATGGCAGGTCAATGGGACACTCTGAACTGTCCCTAGCTCGGAGTGTGAGGGCGAATAGGTCGTTCGTCTGTGTGTGCCCTGCGATTGGCTTGCGAGCCGTTCTGTGGTGTCCCCCGCCTACTCCCCAAAGACCCCATGGAGAGGCTCCGGCACGCCCGCGACCCTCGTGAGAAGCGGATGAGAAAATGGATGCTTGGATGGAGGTTACAACAGTGACAGAGTAGATCGAAAGCATTTTTTCACATTTATTTTGTGCCTTTTGTTGTGGTTTCAGTTCTTTTCGGGTAGGCAGATGTTCCAGTCGATCAAGCGACCGCTGAAGGAACCACAAATCTTGTGCAAAGAAATCCAGAAACCACTAATGTCTTTTGTGGCACACTGAAAGCACAACATCGGAATTCATCGAGGGCGAAAAAAAATGGCAATTGTCTTGAACGACGACGGGAGGGAGAGAAACGAGCGAGTCAGCACTTTTGTCGGCGGCCCATCACATCTTCGTTCGGCTGGCCAACTTTGCAGTGCCTGAGGTGTAACAAAGCTTGTCACGAGAGACGTGTGCTTTGACTCGCATGCGTAACTGGAGACGCACGGCACAACATGCGCATGCTACCGCTGCAGCCACAGCGGCAACAGACAAAACCAACAAAGATGCCGGAGCTTTCGTCTCGTTTTTTTGCGGAGCAATTGTCTTCCACCTCCTCTACGTGGATGACATCACGCTCGATGCTAGCCGGACATCAAGCGAGACAGCGACCGCGGCGGGCGACACGATTTTGTAGGTGTGGCAGGATGGGCGTGAAGGGAGAAACGATATCACAACGTGCACAATGTTCGGAAAAATAAACGGAAAAGCACGAGGAAGGATCTCGGTCATGGCCAAGTAGAAATGGGATGTGCCCTCAATTTGACTGGCTGTTATGCATATATTTGGTTTTGATTGAAGATTTTACTGACATAGACAAAAGTCTAATGAGTTACATACAGAACAGAACATCAAATTGAAGACATTGTGATCGTGTGAAAGTAAACGCCCTTCTCTCGCCACTCAACTCTTTCCCGTACCGTGGCCTTCGTTCAAGATGTGAGGCGTACTCACTTTGAAGAGGTCCTCGAGCATGTTGCTTATGGATGTCTTCAACAGTTCACGCTGCTTCAAGCTTCAACATTTCTGATCCAAGCAAAGAAGCATCTGGGCGGGTGATCCCCGTCAATCCGTTTTCCGGTCGAACATCTTCTTTCTTCAAACGTTTGGGTTGTGTGTGCCTGAAACAACAAGCAACCAAATCCAAAAGAAATCAGTACAGTGAGTGTATTTTTCTTTCGGGCCCGCGAGTACGTTGGGTGCCCGAGAAGTCACCTGAAAGGGAAGAACATGACCCGAGTCGCCCACGCGTACGGGGTGGACGATTTGACGCTGGGAATCACTAAAAGACCAGCGTGTTGAAGTGACAAGTCAAATTTATTGACACAGCGCCGAGTTAGGAGGTGGAGAGGCGCAGGGAGAAGCGGCAGTAAAACAGACCCAAATTCGGATTGCTAAGTTTGGCTTAAACCAAATGCTAAAGTGTGCGGGTCCCAAGTCAACGCCGAAACATTTTTCCTACGGTCGCTGCTCTTATTTACGCGAGTAGGCGGGCGTTCCTGAGGACCGGACCCAACAAGAGAAGGCTCGAGAGCCCACAGGCTTCTCTTTAGCTATCGGAGTCACCAAAAGATCAGTCCGATCTCCTCGAAATGAAACCAATTTCGTATCACAACAATGGAACCGTTTTTTTGTTTTTTTTCCTTTTGTCTTTTAGACCCTCAAATTTTGAGGACCCCTGATCGCACGGACCAGCGTGCGATTAGGAAAAACCAGATGTTCTACAGGTTGCCCGGCTCAGAACGGGCCTCTTTGTTCGATAATTGAGATGGAGCAAGCGTCCTCGTGAGGTCAAATGTCACATGAGGCCAAAGGCGCCAGGTTGCATTCGGGCTTCACCTTTTAATTGAGTGCGGTGTGATACGATGCGAGGGTCAGCAGTCACGCGCTTGCCGCTTGGGACCCTCCTTGCTACAAATCAAGAGCGACCCCCCTCTCCTGTCACAACCTGCGGCAACTGCGATTCCCCCGCCTCTAACAAGCACGCGTGCCAACAATGTGCTTTGGGGGATCACTGCAAATGCAAATAACAATAAATCAATTCTTCGTTCTGTACTGGATGACCCGAAACGCTGAGTTTGCAAAATTAATGAGCCGACAGATTTTGACTGCCCCTGTGAAGAATGAGCAGGGAGTTGCGAGCGGTGAGTTGCACAAAACCTGATACGGGTTCATCGTCAGTTAATTATTACACGTATGAAAGGAAAATTTGTTGGTTTTTTTTTCACCAAGAAAAATGCTGAACTCAGCAAAGGTCACTTGTGTGTTGTCTTAAACTTTCAAGATTCATTGGCTCCCATCTGCCCACACAAACACATTCATTGGATCTGCCTATGCAGATTCAAGGTCAGAGCCAAAGACATCAGACTCGCAGATCTCCCCGTCCGTCCCGCTCCAATTTTCGCTTCGCTGCGATCTCGCGACTGTCCGTACAGCTTCGATTTGCGTGACATCTTCTTCAAGACGTCAAAACCAAGACACCGTTTTCAGGTGCACCAAATGTGAAGGTCTTCCTCCTCTGACTCCTTCCTGACTGCTCGAGGCTTCCTCGCGAGCTGGTTTTCAAGACGAATGCCTTCATGTTATGGTTTGGAGCCACTGAATAATTTACTGCGTAATTACATAGCCTGCAAAAGCTTCGCTGTCCGCCCGGCCCCGTTCAGGATTCCCCGTCGCGTTACAGTCACGACCAGAGCCTTGACCAAGTCAAAATTCAAACCCGCTCTCTAATCAAAGAGCCAGAGGGCCTCGCATTCAGAGGCAAAGTTTTATGTCTGTCGTTTGCTAAATACACTTGGGCCAACAAACGGGGTGTAATTTCTGATTTACAACTCAGCCAAATGTTGTTTTTTTCTTTTACATTTGAGCGACCATAAAATAGCACTCGGCTGAAAGCCCGCAGGTTTTTTTTTTTTTTTTTGTTTTTTTTTTAACGAAACATGTCCCATCATTATAGTTGGCAGTGGTTTTGAGAGGAAAAACCTTCCTTAATATATTGCAGCAAAATCACCGCTGCGGTTGATGGGACGCAACCAGTAATTTCGAAATATATAAAAAAAATAAATAGGAACGACCTCCTCGTTGCCATGTGGTAAATTACAGAACATATGCTGAAATGTTTTTAGCTTGAATGCATATTTGTATGTGTGATGATGGCGTAGAAATCTCTTGCTCTCCCTTGGCACACTGAAGCCAATAAAAACACAAGCAGGAGCAGATCGGAATGCAAGTAAACCCAAAACGAAGCCACACTTGCATTGGAGGGAGTGATTGGTGACGACCTCCAGCTGACGGGGTCACTTTGACATGGCCTCAAGCTCATATGAAGTCCAACGTTGCGGTACGTGAACAAACAAAGAACAGACCCCACTGCAATTGCTGCTTTCCGACGTTGACAACCCCGAGTCGAGAAAAATTCCAAAATAAAAGCTGCTGGCGGCGATGCCCTTATGCCTCCTCTTTCATGGCAATGATCAATAAACTTTCATGGCATGCTCTGACCATGTTCGGCTTGGTGCACGTAGAAGGATTTTTTTGTTTGTTTTGTAATCTTTAAAAAAAATCGTTTTTCTGTCACAGCCCGACTCGAGAAGATATAAGTTTGACCTTTGCCGAGTTTTGGTGTGCTCTGATCATCTGTGTTTTGGGTGTGTGATCAGTGCTATTTTAATGTCACGCTTTTATTTTGAAGGCCTGATTTGACAAGCTACCTTATATGTTACACGGATGTTTCTCCGACTCAGGAAACGTTGGATTTATGGTCGTAAATATTGAACACATTTCACATTCAAGGTCATTTTGGACCCTAATGTCGGTGTGAGTTCGGTCTGAAGACACCTCAGGCCACAGGATAATCACCAATGACAACAAAGTCGGTTGTTTGTTGGCGTGGTAGGGAAATGGCAAAAGCCATTTGTGTGCCTTTGATAGCGGGGCGAAACGTGGCACGGCGATCGACTGGTTAGCACGTTCACCTCACAGTGCAGAGGTGCAAGGTCCGATTCGGGCTTCGGTTTCCTGTGTAGGGTTTGCATGTTCTCCGTGGCTTTTCTCCGGGTACTCCGGTTTCCTCCATCGTTCCAAAAACATGCATGGCAGGTTAATGGAGCACTCGAAATTATCCCTCGGTGTGATTGTGATCGTCGGTGGTTGTTCGTCTATGTGTGCCCTGCGATTGCCTGGCAACCAGTTCACGGTCCCTCCCGCCTATTCCCTGAACACATATCCATTTTTTATATATATATATATATATATATATATATATATATATAACTCCTACATTTTCAAAGTGAGCAGTGATGTTCCGAGGCTTTGTTGTGTGGATAGCCGTATTATTATTCCTTGTCTGAATTTTTGCACCGTTAAATTGCCATTCTGTGCCAAACGTTTTTTTTCCTTCTTGGGAAAAAATATTTTCTGGCTCAATTCATGAGTAAAAATAAGTTTGGGGGTGGGGGGGGTCAAGTGATACTGTAAGAAATAAAAGCCTGCAGGGAGGCCAAAGCCCAAATACATCACCATTTAACAGAACCCATGGTTCGCTGTTGCAACGAAGTGTGTCAATGTTTGGCCAAGGACCAGGTTACAAAGCAAAACCATCCCACCGCACTCGCCAGCGTCTCGTGCGTGCGCGTTTAAATGTTTTGGAAACGCTTTCGGCCAAGCATACATTAATAGTCTATAAAAAGACGAACGCGCGAGTGGAGTTTTAACAGCCGTCTTATCTCAATCTGTAGCCTTTCCATCCCAGCGCTCGGATAAGTCCTCTCCTGGTCACATCCAGAGAGTTTGACGGTAATTGCCAGCTGGCGGCTCACAATCTCCAGGGAGTTTGGCCATGCTGTATGTTGACACTGCTACTGTGGCAAACACCGTCGACTGGGCGACACCACAATACAAAACGTGTTTAAAAAAAAAAAAAAAAAAAGCAGGTGAGTTATCAACTCCTTTTCATCACAGAGACATTAAATTGGGTTTGTATGACGTGTTTTTCATTTTTGGCCAGTCACTGCGTAGACGACTCGCAAAATCCCTTTCGTAATGAATTTTAGAACAGCTTGTCAGTCAGAAGCGATTTCGCGAGTTCCAAGGCTGACACTCAGATCAGTGTTTTCCATGACTCATATCTCGGGCAGATACGTGATACACTTGATGAAGATTTCCAGTGGTTTACAAAAGAAACGCAGCTTCCCAGCAGAACATTGATCCATCAATATTGCGGATGTGAAAAATAGTCATACAATATCCAGTACGTGCGCATGCATCGACGTCCTTCTCGGTCTACGCCCTGTAGAGGGGGTGTGATCACAACTACGGATTTTCAATAAGTTTCCTCTTGTCACGTCAGCGTCTGCTCAAGTTTTTCACTTTGCTCGACATCCAACGTTGGGAGCAAAACAAGATTCCTGGAGCGCGGCGGTCTGTCTCTGCAGATGAACGGGACACAATAACAACGCCTTGCTGTATTTTGCTTATACCGGGATTGTTTATGTGGGCAAAGAGCGTTTGAGTATCTGACACGTTTCTCTTGTTTACATAAAACAGGACATCAGTGAAGGCGTCTCTGTCAAGCTGCCTTTGGAGTTGGAGCACAGATGCGTTCCTGTCATCGCAGAACATTGGTGCAGTGCACCTGAACGCGGATTCATTGTGCTACCGAGAGGAGCCAAGAGGAGTGGCTTACATGATATCCGATCGGTTTTGTATTTGTCACTGAGAAGTATTCTCATATTAGGCGGCACGGCGGTCGACTGACAGGACGGAGGTCCAAGGTTCGATTCCGGCTGCTGCCTTCCTCTGTGCAGAATGCATGTTCTCCCCGTGCCTGCGTGGGCTTTCTCCGGGTACTCCGGTTTCCTCCCACATTCCACAAACATGCGCAACAGGCTAATGGAACACTGTAAACTGGGCCTAGGTGTGATTGTGAGTGCAAAAGGTTGTTGGTCCGCGTCAGGGCCGTCCAAAATCGATCCTCTAGGGCCGCTGTCCTGCCTGTTTTCCAGCTCTCCCAGGAGCAACATATCTGATTCAAATGATCAGGATCGTTTTAATGCTGCTTCAGGGCTGGCTGATGAGCTGCTCGTCTGAATCGGGTGTGTTGCAACCGGGAGAGATGGAAAACAGGCAGGGCGGTGGCCTTCCAGGCCCGGAGCTGGACATTCCTGGTCTACGTGTTTGTCTGCGACTGATGGGCAAGGCGTTGCAACCGGGAGAGATGGAAAACAGGCAGGACGGTGGCCTTCCAGGCCCGGAGCTGCACATTCCTGGTCTCAAGTATCAAGTACAACTTTATCGTCAAATCTACGTCTTTGTGTGCGACTGATGGGCAAAGGCCTCTGGGTGCCCCCCGCCTACTGCCCGAAGACGGCTGCGATCGGCTCCGGCACGCCCGCGACCCTCCTGAGGAGAAGCCGATTCCAAAATGGATGGATGGATGGAGGTATTCGCTTCGATGGCTTCCTATGTTGGCGCATCTATGGCTACGCATTTCCTCGTCGAGATAAGACGAAGATTTTATCACGTGGTGAAAAACTGATGACATGCAGACGTGTGGGACTCTGGAGACCCAACAGTAGCAAAATAATTTCATTCAAGAAGTGTTTACATCGGAATCGCAATGATCACAGAAAACGAATGCTCCCACCCCTTGTCGGCCACAACATCGAAGCTAATTGAACTGGCGGGGTGACCCAACGGTCACCTGGAGTCGGAAGGGCCGGACTTTGGGCACCCGGGCTTGCGGGTTTATGTCATCTGCGAGGACTGACCTCTCCTCGTATCGGGTTGGAGCCGCAAGAACAATAAGTGAAACTATCGAATGACTGGAAACACAAACTAATACCTGAGATCCAGCTCGATTGTTTTAACGGCTGCTTTCTGGCACCGTCTCGCTCCAAGCGAGGGCCAAGTATGCATTTCTGTGCTCTATCAAGACTTTGGCAGTGGAATGGTCCAGTTCTGGAGTGGACTGAATCTGGGAAATTGCAGGGTCAGCCGAGGAGTCCACAGAACTCGCTTCTGAGTTGTACTTGCCAAAAATAGAATGCAGTACAATCACTCTCTGGAGACCGTACCATAAACTGCCGTTAAATCTTCGGACTCCCTCAAAGTCAAATAATGCATGAAGAGGATCTTTGGAATTTGTCCACGTACTGAGCAAACAATAAGAGAATAAAAGAAATGACGCCGCAATGTTTGAGTGAGGCCGAGGTGTGTTGTCTTATCTTTATGGGGACCTTGCTTTCTATAGTTAGTTGTTGGCCTTTTTCTTTTAGCTCATCAGAGCAGATGCGTTTTAGCATTCATCAACTCTCCTGCTACACTGCAGGCTAAATTTAGCCATTTTAATTTAACGTCGTACCTTGGAATTGATGATGTGGAAGAGTGAGTGATGGCGGTTTCATCAGTGTTCACCGGGATTCTATTTTCAGTTCCTGACTCTTTTTGGATCATGACTCACACAGACCCAAGAACATTAGCGCCGTTTCCGAGAAACGAATGTCACAGAAGGGTGACCGCGGGGCGTTTGAGGGCAACCACGGTGACATCACGAAGAAAGCGGCACAACGTCAAATGAGCCTCGTACGGTACGCTGAATCCCTGACCGACAACTGACGCGCAGCACTTGTCCCAATGCGACTGTTCCTCGCGTGTCACAAATACGACGAGGCACACAGTTATGTTCCCAAACGGTAAATGTTTGCGTCGTAACCCGCCGTGGTCTCGCCAATGCAATCGTTAAGTCGGAGTCAAAGTTAAGGTCTATCAGACAAACACTTGGAGGCCATGAACAGAAAGCCATCGGACGGAAATCCCGAAGTATGAAGGCAAGTCATTTTGCACGAATTAGTGCACCATGCACAGTTTGTAAAGCGGAGAGGTTGCATGTCAGGGTGGTTGCGAATCAGGCCAGTTGTCAGCATGTGGAATTTTCTTTCGATTTCATCTCGAGATTACGGTTCACCGATAAATCGTCACGATGTTTTGCATTCCGATCGATTGTATCTTTACTCTTTCAATATGCAATTCATATTTCTTTGGGGGGGCGGGGCGGAGTGTCAATGGGCAGAAAAATCCACAGAAATGAAAAATTTCCCCCTTGCGGGTGGCAAGGGTGGTGGCCACCCAATGACACTTGGTGGATGGATACAAAAGGCGGGACAGAAGAAAGTCAAAATGGCCTGCCCAATCGAAAGTCAACATACAAGTTCTTGCAAACACTCAGTGGCGGCCCGGCTTATTCGAAAGCCTCTCTGGAGGGAAAAGGCTCTTGCTCAAAACAAACACGCCAGGATCTATTTTTGGATTCACTGGGGCACGATCCCATCGCCACCCAGCGCTCACATCACGCTCAGCCTGCTATACAGCTGCGCACGGTCGCTCCAGCGCCTTCGCCGTTTCGAGTTGCTAACACTGCCTTCTAGTGGACACCAACAATATCCCAAGAGAGCGGCCGGCCGGCCGGCCGGCCGCTCCTCCGACATGGAATGAAGGCGGGATCGATGGCAAGATGTTGGACGGCGAACGCGGCCGTGTGATACGCGAAGGACGAGTGAGAAACTCGCCGCGTCCCCAAAAGCGCAGCAGAGATGGAAAGAACAGCCTTGAGCTTGGCAGGCCGCGGGAATGACATGTGCGCAGCGAGCGCAGCACACCCTGAAACAATCAGCCCCGAGTGATTGTGAGATGCAGCCTGCAATGGCAGCAGCGCGAGACCCTCGCTCGAACTTGTCGGGCAGGTTGCCGGCAGAAAAAAAAAAAAATCAAATGCGACACGCGTGTGCACACACACACACAGCCTCTCACGAAACATGTGTGTGCGGATCTGTATTTTTGTTGGCCTCTACGTGTTCGTGCTATACAGGAAGAGAAAAGTGGCCAAAATGGACCACAAATGGGAAGCAACAGGTGCGGCTGACTTATGGACACTTGACATTGCAAAAGCAAATGGAATGCACATCCAGGTTTTGTGTATCTCGGGGAAAACGGGTGTATTTGAAGCAGGGACCTAATGCGACCTTGTGGGGGGGCGGGGGGTGGGTACTGACTGACCCTAATGCACGGCAATTACGGTCAGGAACCAACCATAAAAATCACTCAGTAGCACCCCCTTGGAAAATTCGGAAACAATTAGCCCGGGGGGAGTAGTGGCACTGAATGACGCACACTTTGGTGCACATGCCACAAAAAACAAACAAAACAAAACAAAACCCACAAATGAATCCATTTGTGAACAGAGAACTGCAAAGGGGCGAGGGCTCCCTCTGCATGAAGACATAATACGTAGCTTCTCTTTCGAGATCGACAGTTTTTCAAATTTGGGCGTCGACACGCAGAGGGTCACTTGAAATACAGCGGGAGGGTCAAAAGTTGCAATGTCTTTCTTCGCTCTGACTTTTACTTATGTCATCACAATGTTGCAAATCTCCATTTTGCTATCACATACTTTGGTGACTTTCTTTCTTCCTGTCTTGCATCTCACCATGAGCTCAGCAGTGTGCGTGTGTG